GCGACAGAGAGAGAGAGACAGAGAGACAGAGACAGACAGAGAGAGACAGAGAGAGAGAGAGAGAGAGAGAGAGAGAGAGAGAGAGAGAAGTTGTTCAGACAATGTCACAGTCGTACAGAGCGTCAACTGATAAATGATGTGAAATTAAATAAATAATACTCCTTCTTCTTCTTTTGCGTTTACCCGCTATCAACTCTGGCGCGAATGTATAGCTATTCGTCCTTTTAGGGACTTTAGTCTTACTCTCTCTCTCAGAAGTTCTAAACACACCACACAGTTTTGTTAGGCAATTCCAGAGTGCAGTTGTAGATATTTGCTTACCGACAAGGTACGAAAATACAATTTCCAAATTATTATTATGTAATAGTAGTAGTAGTAGTAGTAGTAGTAGTAGTAGTAGTAGTAGTAGTAGTAGTAGTAGTATTAGTAGTAGTAGTAGTAGTAGTAGTAGTGGTAGTAGAAGTAGTAGTAGTAGTAGGTATTGTTGTTATTGTAGCTACTGTTGTAGTAGTAGTAAATTTGTAGTAGTAGAAGTGATAGTGATAGGAGAAGGAGTAATAGTAGTAATAGTTGTAGTAGTTGCAGCAGTCATAGAGTTCTTGCCTCACTGCGATACAGTTCTTAAAAAACATAAGTTGCAAGTTAAAGAGTCACAAAAAACGCGAGAACGACTTCAAGCATACTGTGTCAGTGCTGATTCTCAAAACAAGTTAATTGCTGACTGTTCTCATTTATAAAGCAACACATGTTACAGGACAGGGAAACTGCCAAGTATGTTGCTGTTATTTTTGTTGATTCCACACCAGATTGATACCATGTTGAACAAATAACATTTCTTTTGCGTTATGTAATACCAATTGAAAACCAGTATGACATTTTCGACAGATGTTTTAATTTTTTTTTTCTCACAGTCTGTTGACACAGGTCGTAAAACAAGATTTGACAAAACACAGTTGATAAGAAGAAACACAGAAAGAACACGATATACCACTGTGTTAGTTTTGCGCACAGGGTTAAGACAATGCAGCTAAAAAGGACAGGGAAATCTAAAGGTGTACGAGGAAAATTACTTGAGCAATGTGAAACAGATTTATTTTCACGAAGTGGATGCCAAACATTGCATTTATGTAGAAATGATGCCGTGGAACTTCTTCTTCTTCTTCTTCTTCTTCTTCTTCTTCTTCTTCTTCTTCTTCTTCTTCTTCTTCTTCTTCTTCTTCTTCTTTGCGTTTGGTTTCGTATGCTCAGATCAGACCATCAGGTGGGATGCCTCTATGAACTCGCATGTCAGCTGCAGGTCCTGCAAGGTTTCCCATAGCTTGCTCTGCACACTTTGCTCTTGAGGCCAGGTGTCTTTTCGAAGTTGCAGGTAGAGTGGGCAGGTCTGCAGAATGTGCTCAAGTGTTTGGGGTCCTGTTTGACAGGCACACTGCGGGGACTGTACACTCTTTATTTTATGCATGTGGTAATTGAGCCTGCAGTGTTCTGTTCGTTGACGGAAAATTGTTGTATGTTGCTTTCTGTTGAGTCTGCTGATGTGGTCTTGTGGATGTTTACTATTAGTTTGTTGTCTCCACAATCCTTTGTATTTTCCTTTGAAAAGTGTTCTGATTTCATGCCGTAGAACAAGTTTAGTGGACAAATAAATGTGCAATTATAATTTAATAACAAATAATAATAATAAATTAAGACACACCCCCCCCCCCCACCCCCAGTTACGGGACCTGAGAAAAAAATGAATAGGCCTACTGCGTCCTAACAAGCATGCGGTAATTAAGGATGTTTCCTTCGCAGCCAGAGTGCGTCTGTCTAGGAGGTGGGGAAGCAACAGTCTGCTCACAAATACAACAAATTTGTAAAGGGATGTGCACGCAAATTCAAGTTCTGAAACAAGACTAAAGTTCAGAAGTGGGTGAACAGTCAGAACTGGAGTTAACAGGCTGTGAAAGCGAAGAAGAAGAAATCTTCAATAGTTTAGCTACAGCTGCCCAAGTGGACAAAATAATCGCCTGCCCGTTTCACGGGATTTTCAGATGGCTATTTAGACCGGAAATGTCTGATACTGTAAGTGGACAGCAGTCCTCTAAGATTGATCAGAGATAAGTTGACATATGAGTTTCATGCAGTCTGGCTTCCTGGACTAATTGCAGCTCAAAAGACAGATTTACTCCGATAGATAGCAGATATGTATTTCTTCTCTGTTCCTTACATGAGTGTTTTTCAATTTATCTGTATCCTTTTTGATGTGCACACTGAAATAGTTTTCTTCGTAAATTATTTTGCGTACTTATTTTTTCTCTTTTCAAAATAACAGTATGTTTCAATCCTCTCCTTTTTACAGACTGTCTATTGACATTCTGTCTCTTGTCTAGAAACAGAAGATTTCAGATGAAAAAGAGAGTAGTCTTTCTATGAGTTTTGTATTGTGTGTGTGTGTGTGTGTGTGTGTGTGTGTGTGTGTGTGTGTGTGTGTGTGTGTGTGTGTGTGTGTGTGTGTGTGTGTGTGTGTGTGTGTGTGTGTGTGTGTGTGTGTGTGTGTGTGTGTGTGTGTGTGTGTGTGTGTGTGTGTGTGTGTGTGTGTGTGTGTGTGTGTGTGTGTGTGTGTGTGTGTGTGTGTGTGTGTGTGTGTGTGTGTGTGTGTGTGTGTGTGGTGTGTGTGTGTGTGTGTGTGTGTGTGTGTGTGTGTGTGTGTGTGTGTGTGTGTGTGTGTGTGTGTGTGTGTGTGTGTGTGTGTGTGTGTGTGTGTGTGTGTGTGTGTGTGTGTGTGTGTGTGTGTGTGTGTGTGTGTGTGTGTGTGTGTGTGTGTGTGTGTGTGTGTGTGTGTGTGTGTGTGTGTGTGTGTGTGTGTGTGTGTGTGTGTGTGTGTGTGTGTGTGTGTGTGTGTGTGTGTGTGTGTGTTGTCCATCAAGAGGATGATGACCACTCTTTTTCATCAAGTATGGGTACGAAGATGACTAATGAGGCCAACGCGAGCCCGAACAGTTCTTGGACAGTGAGAACAAGGAATGAGTGTTGTGCCAGGGAGAGGATCTCCTGAAGTCGCCTTTCTGTCCATCCTGTTATTGATCAGTCTTGCTGTTCTGTTTGCTTCTCATGTAGCTGCGCCTTTGTGTCGAGTTGCACGCCATGTATTTCCGTCTTGAGAGGCAGCCTCCCAATTGGTATCATTCATCCCAAGTTGCTTTGAGTGAAGGCTTCAAAGTGTCCTTAAAGAGTTTCTTTTGCCCACTTGGGAAACGTTTCCCATTTTGCAGCTCACCATAAAATTAGTTTCAGGTATGAGGTGTCAGTTATTGGTAGTACCTCTGGTTGGGGAGCTTGTCACGTCCTTTTTAGGACAGCTTGTTAACCTTTCGTCCAACACTGACAGCTCTCACCCGTGGCTCCATGCGACAGCGGCCACCCCCCCCCCCCCCGACCCCCCTCCCGGCAACAGCTTTGTATCATAAGATCTACATCACAACTATAATTGCGTGTCTACCCAGGAGCTCAATTTTCTCTTATAACATCAAGCGTATTTGCTATAATGGGATGTGTACAGATAGTTATCACTTGGGAAAACAAAGTAAACAAGCAGGAATGGAAGTATAATGGCGAGTCAAAAGGAACAATTTCAGTGAGGTGTTTAAACTTACATGAATCTATGCCGATTTCTCCATGGTTTCTTTTCACTGAAACTGTCGTAGTTGGTTCCCTGTGTGGAAAATACTCTGACAGTACAGAGGGTGACAGCATGCACCGAAGGTAGTCTTGCTCGGCTTTGCGAAGTACGGACACTTGGTGCAGTAAAGGTTCGTATGGAATTCTGTAAAATAGATAGGATAGGGAATTTTTAGAAGTAATAAAAACAGTCGCAAACTTTAAATATTTAATTTTAATGGCCATAATGATTTTATATCTTTGGTGCGACTAAATTATGTATCATGTCATCACCATCATTATGTGGTATTACAGATGGTACAGGCGTTCACACCAGTAGTAATAGCCTTGGGAATCAATCATCATTTGCTTTGGGCTGCAGAAAATGTTGATTGATTCCAAAGGCTATTACTACTCACGCCTCTACACAGATTTAGACCCTGTGTGTATTTCTATGATATATATTTAGACATATCTTGTCAGTTAAAACTTTTCCCCACGATCTCAACGGGGGACTGCCAATAGCTATAAAAGTGATTGATGAATTTGTTTAAATCAAGCTCAGCGAACTCAAGCTCTTTCATGCTCCGGGTGAGGACATTCAAACCGCAGGTAGTAGGTTTTTCTCACTGAGATCCGTTGGTTATCAACGGCAAATGTGCTACCTCAGTGAACACGCTGAAGTCTGAGGTGGTCAACGTCTTTCTCATGAAAAAGAAAAACAAAGATGGTAGGTGTCATGCATTTACATGCATTTGCTTTTGTTTTCTATCTTACTTTAGTTTCTTTTTTTTTTTAAGGATTTGAATAACTTAGACTTGAAACTTCCACTAAAAAATTGCAGCATTATTATATCCTATGATGTCTCAGGGCTTTCATAGAAAAATTAGTTGTCGAAAAGACAAACTGAATCCTAAAACTTCTCATCTTTTTCTCGTCCTGATGAACTGTTGAAAAATTTTTAGTGTCAAAACAAGGAATTTGCAGTTAAAAATCAGTCAGACTTAGATGTTCTAGTATAAGAGATCAATCTCTGTGTTCCCGATCTTTCATTTGATGACTAGTCTTGGAAGTTGAACAGAAATTCTTTAATTGTTGACAACAATATACTGCCACAGTCGATTCCAGAAGAAGCAAGTGTATTTTAAGGGCTAAAGACAATTTAACATGTTTAGGATCGGCTATTTTTGGAGTGTAGTATCTTGGAACAAACCCTCATGTAGCCAAATTAGCTATAAATGGTCTTTTCACAACATCCTCGGCATAAGATGTGTGTATCCAGATTTTCTGCTTTAACAGTGCATTTAACAGCTTATCTGGAAATATAATGTGTGGGCAAATGAGAAAGCAGAAGAAGTTACCTGTCTTTGCCCGATTCCCGAAATCCCTTCGCAAATGGATTGCTTGCGATCTTTAGCGTTGTAATCTGAAAAAAAGACCAGGATTGTACAATACAACAATTTTTGTCGCTATGTTTTCGTATCTTAGTGGTTCTCATTCTTCGACTATTGATGCCAACTTTGTAGCAAAGAGAATTTTCTCCAAAACGCCTGCAGAGAGACGTGCAGATATGCAGGCAAAAACTGAAATCCTACATCAGAAGTGGACAATCTAAATTCTTTTAGCAGGAGGTCTCTATGGCGAAGTGGTCAAGCTGTTTGCCTCGCTCTCTGAAGGTCGTGGGTTCGTTTCACAGCGGCGCCGCTCAGCTCAGGAGTGCAATTTTTACGGAAATATCTGGGGATCGACGCTGGAGCTATGGAGGTCACGCTCCATGCGATGCTCGCGTCAGGCAGCTAGCTGTTCTGCGGAGAGAGACTGTGCCATATGGGATAAAACCTTGTGCAATGAAATCAATCATCTCACAGTTACCTATACTTGATTCTTTTAGCACTTTCTGTGAAAGGCCAAGGGCGAATGTGTCGCAATAACCGGAACGTTGGAGGAGAAGAGAGACAGAAACCAAAACACAAGATGGAACATTAGCATCATGACTTGTCCTACTCCTTAGCGTTCACCGGCTGCAATCTTCGGTAGAAAGTTCTGGTTGTTCGTCCACTCCTGGACTTTGTTCTTAATTCGGAACTTGCGTTTGCGTGCACACGTTTTTTACTGATCTGGCTTATTTGTTTACGGACTGTTGGTTCCTCGCCTATCAGGCAAATACACTTCGCGAAAAAAGAGTCACTAATTAGTCGCTTTGTACGCCATGCATGATAGAGACTGTTCTTTGTTCTGCTAGATGTAGCCCTGGAACCCATACAGGGATCGTAAGATTGGGGTAGATCTGTATCAGGAACGACTGACAGTACACAAGGCAGATGATGGACACGACAACGCCACATGCTATAGATTACAAGAAGATGCGAACAAATTCATCTAAACTTCATCTTTGTGTCGGCAATGCGGGTGTTCGAGGCAACGAGCCACCAGTTTACAGTTAAATTAATTATGCAGTTGAAGAACTGTTAGCGATGAAAAAACTATACTATAAAATAAACGTTGAAGACGAATTTACGGATGAGCTAAGTTCAGAGTTAAAGACCTGTATTCGGCTTTAGGTAGGTGCTTTGCTTGAAAAAAATTGTCACGTTCAACCAATATCCCTGAAGGGGGAGGTTAAGGTTATAATTGTGACTTGGTTATGTGCGCCATATAAAATGGCTGAACATTGCACACCACAAAGAGCCCTGCCAAGGCCCAAGGACTCATGCGATGTTAATTCGATCAAAGGAGATGGAACCAAAATACTGTCCCGACCAAAGTCGTCTACACTAGCCAGTGGACAACCCAGTCGCCGATTCTGTATTCGGCAAATTAAGTATACAATTAAAAAAGCTGTTTGTGATAACTTAACTAGGAAAGAGAAGTGGCAAGTTCAACAGAAACAAAACTAACAACTTTTAGGTTCACAGATGGACACAATAGCACCTATCTAATCTAGATGACCCCAATCCAAACGATGGCTGGTAAGCGCGAGGAAGACGCCACAGCTCAGTCGAGTCTGTTTGCTGAAGATAGGATCATCCTCTAGGCCCGACAGTGAACGAGATGATGATGACAGGCAAGGGTGGTTTGTTATCTCAAGTGCTGGTGGCAGCACTGACTATGATAATGCTCATGGGAAACGGGCAAGAGGTGATGGCAATGGCAGGTCTCGCTGGAGTTGTTAGCTTAACTTGTCCACGCGGATTGTGAACTGGGACAATCTCGTACAGCATAATAGTTAACGCTGCATAAACTTTGTGACACTTTAACTGTAAATGTACCGCCAGTGATAAGGGCAGGCGGGAAACTGAACTACCGCCTGCTACGTGCAATGTCCTAATTCGTTTAGCGAACACATGCGGATTATTGCCGAGTCAGCTCCCTTGTAATTGTCTTGGGCAGGGTGGGTGAAGACTTGAGGGAAATTATTCAATATCTTGTGTCCTTTATACTACACCAAAATAGTGCAGATAACCTAGTCACACTTATAACCTGAGGCTCCTCCTTCGGGGATGATTATTGAACGTGATGATTTTTTTTCTTTTTTTGCCTTAAAAACTAATGATGATGATGTAGAAGACATAGTTAAAGAATCGACTTCAGTGCATCGGATTTTATCCTATATGGTCCCCAGTGTTGCCACTTTTCTTTGTCTGCCATAAAAGATCCACAGGATAAACTTAGCTTGGGTGATGAAGTTGAAGCTTCAGATCCAAAATGACTCTGGTATGCTTTAGCTGTTCAAATTTCTTTTAAATACCCAATCAGGGAGCTGATAAGCGGAACAGCCTTTTCATACTCTTATAAGGCCAAATTTTATTGTCAAGATAGCATTTAAGAGGTCATTTTTCATCCTGTTTCTTAGGTTAGATTTGAAAAATTCACTCCAAAAAAAAAACATCTTGAAAACATCTACCATCTTAACGTCAAAAACGCCATCTAAATGCAAGGGAAAAACATCTAAATCTGGATGTAAAACATCCAAAGTGGCAACACTGATGGTCCGGCCTCTTTCCGTAGAATGCTTGCCGCCTGCCGACAGCGTCGTATAGTTGGAACATGGTAGCTGTAGCGAATATCCTCAGGGGTCTCTGAACAACAACTGCACTTGTGAGGTGAATGACGCAGCCGTGAAACCAGCCCACGGCTTTCAGGGCGTGAGGCTAATGGCTTGACCACTTCACCACATAAACCCCTACATTACTACATGAGAAATGATAAATATCGGTTTGGTGCATTGATTCATCATCATCATGTAGCAGGTCCTTTGCAGAACGTCGCTCTCGTCACAGTCTGCCTGTAAGAAACTCGGTCTCTTGCCAGTTCTCCCGCCTCATGAACTTTCACACTTAAGGAGTCACTTATATCCTGTGCCCATCTTCGTGTCGGTCGGCCCCTGCCCCTCCTTCCTGGTACCATGCCTTCTGCTATAATTTTTTCCAATCCGTCGTGGCGCTTGATATGACCAAAATATTTCAGCTTTCGAGAAAGGATGCTGTTTATTAGCCAATCTTCCTTGATGTTCAGATCTTTTAAGATGTCAATATTTTTCATCTTCTTTGTCCAAGATATTCTGAGAATCTTTCTATAGCATTTCAGCTCAAAAGCCCCTAATCTCTTTCTTATGGACTGAGAGATAGTCCACGACTCACATCCATATGTAGCCACAGGGAAGATGCATGCTCTAAAAATTCTAATTTTTATCTCCTTGCTGGTACTTAACCATATACTTTTAAGGCTATTCAATCTTTGCATTGCTCTGGCCATCCTCCTTTTAATTTCTGTCGAACAGTCTCCATTGTTGTTTATTATAGAGCCTAGATATTCAAAGTTTGTGACATTTTTAATTTCTTCATCATTTATTGTTATTTTTGGTTGACAGCCAGTTTTATCAGTGGACATTATTTTCGCTTTCTTTAAATTCAAGAACAGATTTTGATCTTCACTGTGCTTTTGGACGGACAATATTAAATTTTCTATTCCCTTTACGCTGTTCGAAAGGAGGACTGTGTCATCTGAGTAGCGGAGTTCCGGAATAGGGTTGCCACCAATTTTGAGCGGATCATAACTGTCACAAGTCTGGTCATTTTTGACATTTCTCATTATATTTTCTGTTCATATATTGAATAGTATGGTGAGAGAATGCACCCCTGCCTCACACCCTTTTGCACTTCGAACCAATCAGATGTTTCACCAGTTGCTATGATGGCTGCTTGTTGTTCATGATAGAGATTTTCAATTAAATGCACTAAATGCGCTGGAAACCCCATATTTTTCATAATAGTACACAGTTTGTGGTGTTGGGCACAATCAAATGCCTTGCTATAATCAATAAAACAAGCATGAAGATCTACATTGTATTCTCTGCATTTTTCAAAAATTATTCTCATATTAAATATGTGATCCCTAGTTCCTCTACCCTGTCTGAAACCCACTTGTGCTTCATCTAGTTCATATTGTAATTTCTTTTCAATCCTTTTCATGATAATTCGAAAGAGGATTTTACTAGCATGACTTATTAATGAGATGGTACGGTAGTTGGAGCATAGTTTTGGATTTCCTTTCTTTGGGAGAGGGATATAGACTGTTCTTTTCCACGCTTTAGGACAAATGCCACTGTTCCAGATCTTCGAGCACATGCCACTGTTCCAGATCTTCGAGCACAGTGCATGGTAGATTCGGACGCTGGCCTCTCCTACTGCTTGAATTAGTTCTGCTGGTATTTCGTCGCAACCTGGAGACTTTCCTTTCTTCAGGCTGTGTATTGATGATCGTACCTCATCCAGTAAAGGCTCTGGTTCTTTTTCATAACTTTCACAAGTCGTTTTTGAATTACCTGTCACATCCTTATACATTTCTCTACAGTATTCATTCCATCTTTCTAATATGTCTTTGGTTTCCGTTAATGTGTTACCGTTTTTATCACTTATTACATGTAAAGAAGGCCCGAATTCGCATTTCAATGTTTTAATTTCTTTAAACATGTCTCTGTCTCTTCCTTGCATCTGGAGTTGTTCAATTCTATTACAGGTATTTATAATAAACTGTTTTTTTTTATCTCCTCCGATAGCTCTTCTGATTTCTTTCGTGTAGTTCCTATATGCATGGCTATTTTTCCTGTCCCTACTTGCTGGTGCATTGATTACTGTATACATTTTAAAGAAAAACGTATTTATATATATATATATTTTTTTAAACAGACTGATTTGTACGGTTGTCAAATTGGCCTTACGGTGTAGCACAATTATTTTTTCGGCAGCGAGGCACTGTCTTTATTTGGAGCTCGCCAATAGTAAGCAGACAGTAGTAGTGGCTGTAGTGGTAGTAATGGTAGTCACAGAGTAGTAACAGCAGCAGACACAGCAGCAGTTGCAATTCCGACTGGTTCGAGTTCCAGTATGGTATCTATAGCTTTTTATTTGTGTGGTGTCTGTTGTGAGTGACTGTACCTATCTTTTTTTTTCTTTGCTCAATGAATTCCAAATAATACTTGTCATGTTTTCTTTTAATATCTTCGTTGGTAATTTTCTCTTCGATTGGTATGTATTGAGTTAATTAAGGTTCTCTTCCGTGTTTGCGGGACAGCAAGTGTGAAAGCCCGATACCGGACCTCTAGCGGTTGACTCTATGATAGGACAAGTATGTAACTGATAGCTCTTGACTCTGGGATATCTCATGTTGTTATTCATTGACTGTACTGGGAACTAACTGCGATGTTATTACAATTGTGTCTGCATCGTTCTTTGCTACATCTGCTGTTTTTCTTGCTCAGTATGTTAAATAACACTACTGCACTAAGATACTCATTACCATGTAATGTACCGGAAGAGTAGGCTGTCATGTTTCTTTAATTCATTTAAATTTATGTTAGTAAATTTCCGAAGATATTTCTTCTCGTGCATTTGAAACAAGTATATCTTTTGACAAGCAAAGACAACCGCTCCTGAAATCTAACGATGGGAACTTGCGGACAAGCTGTTAATTTTGACGTCAACATAGTTTCACACTCCATGGAGTTATCTCCCCACGAATGCTGATATCAGTTGCTGTTGAACCTTTCCGTCTGCAAGACAAGATCAGTCTTATCTGAATTTCCCTTCATCGCCGGATGATTATCTCGATCAAAGACAAACTTTAGTCTTCCTGCCACTGTTTGATGTTGACTGTTCACACTTGTCTCGATCTCAGAAAGAAAAATAAATGTTCAGTTTTGCTGTTGCAGATTTTCACAACGTAATCAAAAGCTGGGCAGACATTTCTCGGATTCAAAATTGTACTTTCAGTTTTTATAAAGGACATGCGAAAAGGGCCTAAGGTCCAAAGTAGCATGGAGGTGGAGTTTCCAGGCAGTGGTGGATTTCATCATCGTCAAGTGTCTTGCCGACTGGCGAAGGCAATCATGCCTCTCCCCTATCTGCGATTCGCAGGTGCATGTATTATTTGTCAAGAATCTTCTTGCGCTGTCTTCTTCTGTCTTTCTTTCCATAAATCTTTTCAGTGGTCACAACATGTTCCATTTTTCATCTTCTCATAACATGACCCCAAAAATTATAACTGTCTCTTTCTGATGTTTGTGATAAGTTGTCTTCGAGCACTCGCTCCTTTCAAAACATTTGCGCTGTTCTTCTGGACTGTCTCAGGAATTCTGAGGATTCTTCTGTAAAACCACATCTCTGAGTCCTCAAGATATTTGGCTTGTTTATTAATTGTCAAGATTTCACAGACGTGTGTTAAAACCAGCTCTATATAGCATGCGAGAATTCTTGTCTTAACCTCTAATTACATGGATTCATTGCATAAAATGTTCTTCATTTGATATTTGGCTTGTTCTATACTGTTCTTTATCTCTGTGATACATCTTCCATATGATGTTTTCCATGTGCCTAAATACCTAAATTTCTGTACTTGTCCCAAAATAACGCCTTTGACTTTTATTCTACATCTAGGCACTTTTCTTGTCTTGGAAAATATTATTTATGTCTTCCCATTATTCAAACAGACTAATTTTATCACTTTTTATCACCAACATACCAATCCATTCCGGTAGTTCTCTCTGATTTGTCGCTGTCAAGACGGTGTCACGGGATAACGCAAGGTGTTTCATACAATAACTTCGAGGATCACAAGCGTAACTCAGGTTGTCTCATACAATAACTCGAGGATTATGAGCGTAACTCAGATTGTTTCATACAATAACTCGAGTATCACCAGAATAACTCAGGTTGTTTCACACAATAACTCGACGATCACCAGCATAACTTAAGTTGTTTCATGCAATAACTCGAATATCACAAGCGTAACTCAGGTTGTTTCATGCAATAACTCGAGGATCACCAGCATAACTTAAGTTGTTTCATGCAATAACTCGAGGATCACCAGCGTAACTCAGGTTGTTTCATACAATAACTCGACGATCACCAGCATAACTTAAGTTGTTTCATGCAATAACTCGAATATCACCAGCGTAACTCAGGTTGTTTCACACAATAACTCGACGATCACCAGCATAACCTAAGTTGTTTCATGCAATAACTCGAGGATCACCAGCGTAACTCAGGTTGTTTCATACAATAACTCGAGTATCACTAGCGTAACTCAGATTGTTTCATACAATACCTCGAGTGCCACCAACGTAACTCAGGTTGTTTCATACAATACCTCAAGTGCCACCAACGTAACTCAGATTGTTTCATACAATACCTCGAGTGCCACCAACGTAACTCAGGTTGTTTCATACAATACCTCGAGTGCCACCAACGTAACTCAGATTGTTTCATACAATTCCTCGAGTGCCACCAACGTAACTCAGGTTGTTTCATACAATACCTCGAGTGCCACCAACGTAACTCAGGTTGTTTCATACAATACCTCGAGTGCCACCAACGTAACTCAGGTTGTTTCATACAATAACTTCGAGGATCACCAGCGTAACTCAGGTTGTTTCATACAATAACTTCGAGTGCCACCAGCGTAACTCAGATTGTTTCATACAATAACTCGAGTATCACCAGCGTAACTCAGATTGTTTCATACAATAACTCGAGGATCACCAGCATAACTCATGTTGTTTCATACAATAACTCGAGGATCACCAGCATAACTCATGTTGTTTCATACAATAACTCGAGTATCACCAGCGTAACTCAGAGTGTTTCATACAATAACTCGAGTATCACCAGACTCGCTGCGCTATTGGTTCTAAGTGCATGCACAGTGCCCTCTACGTTACATTCGCATAAATGATTCGATATATTGTTAACGTTTCTTGCTTTTATTATCCCATCCTCTAAAACAGAATAAAAAAAAAAAAAAAACATGGGGCATATATTAGCTTTACTCGCGCAAGGGTTCCGGTGACCTACTATAGGGAAAACCAGAATTGACCCACTTCCTATCCAAAAGTAAGTCGTAAAGGTCGACTAACTGGGAGCTTCGAAGTGCATCTGCTTGAGAGTCAAGCAACCAGCAGCCTGCATACAAATGAGTCAGACCTGTAAAAGGAATGCGCACACAACACTCAGGTTCTGAAATAGGAATACACTCCAGAAGTGGACGAACAACCAACACTTTTTCGCGGGAGTTTACAGCTGGCGAACGCGAAGAAGAAAGAGTTACAGAACCAATTACAAGGTACAAGGACACATAAACAACTTTGCGGCGATGAGCCTTTGTCTGCAGAAAAAGGACGCCCCACGGCCCCCCCCCCCCCCCCCCACTCCTTTTATGACTCAAAAATGTCTATATTATGGTATTTAAATATTAAACAAAAAATGAAGCCAAATAATTACATTAAACATCGAAGCAACATTCTTTGTTTGTCTGTTGTCTTTTCTGTATGTCCAGTATCCACGGTTTGAGACGTAGTAGCATTTAAGTCGTACAGTGACGATTCTGTGTTTTCATGCAGGGTTATTCTCTTGTTTGATAAAATTATATATTATTGTTTTTCTGCCGTTTATTTATTAAAAGTGCTGTCATGTTATGCATCTCTGGTATCGCTGTGGCTCAGTCAATCAATTAATCAGATGCCGTCTTCACAATTTAGGTTGGCTGCAATAGATTTCCAGCACTTTCTGTCGAATGTTTGTTGTTTACTCTCTCGTACTACTGTTTGTTCATCTCCTAATGCTTTTCTCCCAATTTTGTCTTTGCATACCTCTTGCTCTAATTAGTTTAATAGTATAATACTCAAATTGCCGTGTATTGACTAGGATTCACAGAAATAAGTAGAAGCACAAGAAGCAGAAATAAGTAGGAGCATAAGAGGACGACACACTAGTCAACTAAGAAATCCAAAGATAACCAGAGCCTGGCTATAGGAACAAGTAAGTGTACCTCAACAAATGACCAGATTGACACTCCTAAAAAAAAAAGAGGTTATCATTTAATAATTTTAATGGACATTTTATTAGGCCAACCAAAACTCGATGGTGATGTGACCAAGTCACTGCCCGCCTTCCCTTGAATATTTTAGGATACCAATGTGTATGCCGAGTCGACCAAATTTTAGTTACGTTCTATATAAATGAGCAAACGATACATACCCGATGGTTCTGATAAGCTGTGACAGCCATAAAGGATGTCTGTGGGAACATGACAACGTATTTTTCTGCTTCTGAAGAGCTGCTGATGTCTGCCTCACGCACTTCCTCGACAACAAACTGCGGCTGAAACTTCTGCATGGACACAAGAGACACCTGGAAGGTAGAGAGAGAACTAGCAACAGTCAACAATGTCACATTCACTATAATATAACAAATACTTAAGGCAAAGTAAAGTGAAGTGGAGAAATGAGAGAAATATGTTGGCAATCGCATGTGTCAACAGTTATAAGGCAAGGAGACAGCGGTTTAGTTGGTACCGCCTAGAAAGAAGTGAGTAGAGAATCGCCAATCAGGCACTGAAATGAGAAACAGATGAAAGCTGACGTCCTAAAGAAACCATAAGACGAAGGTTGATAAGAGAATCAAGGGTTCTGAATAGGATTCCATTTATGAATACTGCAACAAAGCACAGGATATAAGTTAAAACAACAGTCGCCACAGAAATGAAATGTGTACGTACTATGAAAGGTGTAACAAGGACACATCGACTCAGAAACGATGATATCAGAAGGAGAGTCGGCACATAACTAATACTGAACTCTATCGGTAGACAACAGATCAGGTGGTTTTGTCATGTAACAAGATAGGGCACAGCAAAGAGCAATGTTATACAAATACTGTGGTAACAGAGCCAGAGGTCGACCACGCAGAACATGGACCGCATAACTATCAGAGAGACTGAAAAGTACTTTATACAAAACGAACACAATGGCCGGTGTCTAAAATCTCTTCCCGCCGTGACGCTGTGAGGTATTTCAAGAGTAGAGAGAAGAAGAAACAAAAAGAGGATTTTAATAGAGAATGGACGAATAAACTAAGAGCCTGAGTGACCTTTAAAGCCCCATCATTACATGAGAGTTAGCTAAAGTGAAATGCCCGTTTTCACACTGTGAAATGTATTTTTTACATGGTGCCAACCCATATTTTATAAATCAAATGACACCTACTGGCTTAAGTGATCAATTACACGTCTGCCTCTGTTACTTTTGAGATAATTTCATCATACCAATGTTTACGTTGGACAGACCCCAGTCAATTGTATTAAGTGTTTCAGACCTTGACAAATCTTCAAGAGGCCTAGCAAGTCGGCAGTGGATTTATTATAGCGTCACAGAATACAGGAAACCGCCATTGTGTAGCTGTGGGTCTCCGAAAAGAGATGAAATGTTTTCAAAAATGACCTTGGCTCTCAGGTAGATCCAGCCTTTAATGGGTACCATGTAAAGTCTTGGTAAGTAAAGGCGGTCGGTTTGATGTTAACCATATCACCTCGAGTGCGACTGGTCTATAAACTATAAGTGTAGCACTGTATGACCAATACACCAGAAGGCGTTGAAAAAGGTCCTCTACTTTTAAAGAAAATACAATGAGTTATAAACGACTGATCAAACGGTATTCGACCGCGCTCAAGGTGAGATAACTCTAAAACAGCGCAGTGTGTTTATGGTCGAGTTTGCCAGAAGAGCAAGAAGAAGAACCTTATATCTCCCTTGACACTCGAAGTGGTAAAGAAGGAAGTGAAGAAGAATAATAAGAAGACGAAGTGGTAAAGAAGGAAGTGAAGAAGAATAATAAGAAGACGAAGTGGTAAAGAAGGAAGTGAAGAAGAGTAAGAAGAAGACGAAGTGGTAAAATAGGAAGTGAAGAAGAGTAAGACGAAGACGAAGTGGTAATGTAGGAAGTGAAGAAGAATAAGAAGAAGACGAAGTGGTAAAGTAGGAAGTGAAGAAGAATAAGAAGAAGACGAAGTGGTAAAGTAGGAAGTGAAGAAGAATAAGAAGAAGACGAAGTGGTAAAGTAGGAAGTGAAGAAGAATAAGAAGAAGACGAAGTGGTAAAGTAGGAAGTGAAGAAGGATAAGAAGAAGACGAAGTGGTAAATTAGGAAGTTAAGAAAAATAATAAGAAGACGAAGTGGTAAAGTAGAAAGTGAAGAAGAATAAGAAGAAGCCGAAGTGGTAAAGTAGGAAGTGAGAAAGAATAATACGAACACAAAGTGGTAAAGTAGGAAATGAAGAAAAAAAATAAGAAGACGAAGTGGCAAAATAGGAAGTAAAGAAGAATAAGAAGAAGACGAAGTGGTAAAATAGGAAGTGAAGAAGAGTAAGAAGAAGACGAAGTGGTAAAGTAGGAAGTGAAGAAGAATAAGAATTAGACGAAGTGGTAAAGTAGGAAGTGAAGAAGAATAATAAGAAGACGAAGTGGTAAAGGAGGAAGTGAAGAATGAATAAGACATGGCTTCGACTGGAGGAGGTGTTTAAACAATCCAAATCTTTACAGTTCCAGGTGACTGAACTAGCCCTGCAGACCTACATCTTTAGACCCCAGAACCCCTTTGCCTACACCACCTATAAAACGTAGTAACTGCAGACAATAACTATGGTTATTCACAAACAGCACTAGAATAGGCAGGGTTGCGGATACCATCATCAAAGCGAAAGTTGGAATAACAACAATTATGGATTATACTGACAAACAACAAATAAAATATTTCGGCCATCTAGTGAAAATCCAGTTCGGCCAATCTGCATACGAGACTCTTTTTATAAGAAAACATCTGGGAGGAAGGCAAGAGGAACACAAAGAAAGAGAAGGATAAATGATGTAGCAGAAACCTGCAAAAAGGTGAACAAATCCATTACCCAACCCACTCGAGAAGTGCAAGACAAATACAGAAAACCACGACTTTGTGCTACAATCTGACATCAGTGAGACGACAAAACCACGACACTGGGCTACAACCTGGTATCAGTGAGACGACAAAACTACGACACTTAGCTACAACCTGGTTTCAGTGAGACGACAAACCTACGACACTGGGCTACAACGTGGTTATCAGTGAGACGACAAAACCGCGACACTAAGCTACAACCTGGTATCAGTGAGACGACAAAACCATGACACTGAGCTACAACCTGGTATCAGCGAGACGACAAAACCACGACACTGGGCTACAACCTGGTATCAGTGAGACGACAAAACTACGACACTGGGCTACAACGTGGTATCAGTGAGACGACAAAACCATGACACTGAGCTACAACCTGGTATCAGTGAGACGACAAAAGTAGAAGTAGTAAAAGAAGAAGAAAAAGAAGAAGAAGAAGAAGAAGAAGAAGAAGAACAACAACAACAACAACAACAACAACAACAACAACAACAACAACAACAAAGAGAACAGGAAGAAGAAATACAGGTTTGAAAAACTGACTCAAAACAGAGGGCGACACAAGTGTAATATTTAGGAAAATGTCCGTAGAAAACACCCTATTGTGACTGTGTTATACCGCTGAACGAGTCATTTGTTGCTGTTTGATTTTCACTTCCGAGATATTAGTTCTACGGGATATAACACTAAAGGGAAAGGGACGAGGGGTTAAAATAAAACAAAAATTTTAAAATTATAAATAAAGGACACACACACAATAATTTAAGAAAAAACTGTACCTGCCCCGGTTTGGCGGGCTCCGTGTTTGTCAGTTTCAGCCTCTCAAAGGAAACAATCTGGGAACAAACTATCTGCCCGCTGATCGGTTCTTCTACCGCCTTGTGGCACTGCTGAGAGCTGATTGTGTCCCCTGAACCCGACACCATCCACCGAGAACTGCGGAGCACAAAGAGTTTGGTATTTAAAAACTATTGATGCTGCTACTTAGGCATTCTGTACATAAACAAATATTCTATGTTCTGTTTTTCTTTTCCAGAGAAAGAACAAAATGGATCTACCAAAGCGACTCAGAAAGTAAAGGCGGCAGGCCTGATTTAGCACATTACCGTTCGTGTAGAGATTCGCCTATATAAATACGGCAACTGGGTCACTTGTCCGATTTCAAGCTAACGTCCCGTCCTTTTTAGGATAAAATTTTTCATTTTTTGAATCCCTACTCTGGCTTTGCCAGGGGCTGCAATATAGCTTGGCCATAAATATGGCCTAAGAGCTGAACGCGGTTTCTGGGACCTCTCCACAGTGATACTCACCCGCATGGTGGCACATTGTGTCATCGGGTGTTTATCGCTTGTGTGATGTCCTGGTGGCGTAGAAAGTCAGTCAGTCGACTTGTCCGATTCTCCGATGGCTTATCGTCCTCACCTCGATAGGACTGCAGCTCACACCTGTCTGGTGTAGCCGTTTAAAGCACCCTAATTATAACTTTTGTGGAAGTTGAACCGGGTATCTGGAATCCGCCCTGTTGATCAAATTGTTAGTTTTTAAATCTGCTGATGGTATAGTAAACCTTTAGGTGGCAACCTGGAGTTGAAAAACAGATCGATCAATCGATCCAAAGGAATGAGAAGGTTCACTTACCTTAATTTCGTGACAAAAATTCAATTTTCAAATGTCTTTCACTGCTGAATAGTTTGCAAAGTTGCATGATTTTATAATAGCCAAGAAAAAATCGTTATACATGATTAACACAAAGAAAAAACAAGTTATCCAAACAGGCACAATTCATCTATAATTTAGTGGAAATTTACTTCCGCCCGATCAGCAGACGTCAGTTAACCTGCCATTTTGTAAAGCTAGTGAAGGTTGAATGGTTACGATGTAGCATTCAACAAAGAGCGAACAATGAAGTATTGTTTTGAGACGACTGAATTGAGTACACTGTAGTCAATTATAATTGTGGATACAGCATACGATCTTTATTTTTTAGAAAATTTATTTAAATAAAATTTTTAAAAGCAAATGTAAAAAAAAAAAAAAATTTACATTTACAATATTATTTTCAAAAAAATACCCTTTTGTCAATGGCAGACAGCCGATTTAAAATATTCTGTATCAAACCCAAGAAAATCACTATAAGAAGAAGCAAAGAAAAACGTTTCATCATAGGTTAGTCTCGCATCGAGCATTTGTAAAAAAGTAAAAAGTAAAGGGCCCTTTTTCACGCCTTTAGGCGTATAGGGCTAGACCTATATTTTTATAGGCCAATCGGCACAAGATGGGTGATGTTGTCAGCATCACACCGGCCGCCTTTATTTCCCGGGGCTAGACCTATATTTTTATAGGCCAATCGGCACAAGATGGGTGATGTTGTCAGCATCACACCGGCCGCCTTTATTTCCCGGGGCTGCACCCGGTACCCACTCAAGACTGGGTCGACCTGGGAGCCAAGGTTATTTTTTGAAAAAAAAAAGTCCGGCTCCTCCAGGGAGCGAACCCACGACCTTCCGATCCGCAGCGAGCGTCGAGCATATGATGCTTGATTAATTTTTGGTACTCGGTGGCTGCCTTTACTTCCCAGGATATTTAAACTGATCATTACAATACTTGATATGACAACAGCCAGCTGAATACGATGTGAAAGATCATAACCAGCAGAGCAGTAAATGTCAGTATGTAAAATATGGTAGATAATCAGTACCTATTTAAGACTGGGACAACCTAATTTAAAAAAAAAAATTGATGTGACGTAGAGTCGAACCCAAGACAACAGAGCGACTGACCTGTGGTAGATATATCTATATTTGCGGGAATCTGGCTGGAGAAATTCCAGCCGCACATAGTAGAGCTTATCTGGATCCAAGCCGCAGAATTTGACTTTCAGTGCTGGGAACATACGCCTGTTTAATACAATGGATTAAAATCAAAAACGTAAACTTTTCATCGCCAGTGTACAATGATTTATAGAAACTGTACAGTTAATAATAAATAAATAATAGAACTATAATTAATAATGTAAATAAATGCTGTGGATTTGGATTATTTGGAGTGTCAGAGGACTAATTGGCCTCACCATCATTGGTACTGCGATAATCTGTTTCAAGACATAATTCCAAACCATGTCGTTACCGTTGTGGGGACGCGTGAGATTTCTGGTAAACTGAACCTATAGTCTAATTACATAGACAGCTATACCATCGATAATGACTTATTGTAGAGGGCTGACTAAACTGCGTTCTGTTCCTGGAGACGCTTAGATTAATGCCACCGACAGACACATTGTGAGACAGACGAGCGGAACGAGGGACAGACAGACAGACGGACGGAAGGAGGGACAGACAGACGGGCAGACATACAAACAAACGGCCATAGACAGACAGAGGGAGGGGAGGACAAACACATAGACATGTAAGTAGGTGTATAGACAGACAGACAGACAGACAGATAGACAATTAGACAGACAGACAGACAGACAGACAGACAGACAGATAGACAATTAGACAGACAGACAGACAGACAGACAGACAGACAGACAGACAGACAGACAGACAGACAGACAGACAGACAGACAGACAGACAGACAGACAGACAGACAGACAGACAGACAGACAGACAGACAGACAGACAGACAGACAGACAGACAGATAGATAGATAGATAGATAGATAGATAGATAGATAGATAGATAGATAGATAGATAGATAGATAGATAGATAGATAGATAGATAGATAGATAGATAGATAGATAGATAGATAGATAGATAGATAGATAGATAGATAGATAGATAGATAGATAGATAGATAGATAGATAGATAGATAGATAGACAGACAGACAGATTGACAGACTGATTGACTGACTGTTTGACTGATGTAAACTCACCGGCCTGATTTCGTGATGATCATCTCTGTGCCGAGTGCATGGAACGAGCTCCACAGATCTGCGTGGCAAAGCTTAGCAATGATTGACTTTTTAGAGCCGCCATTATCTGAGGGGATCAAACAGTGTCACAAGTCATTGAACTCAAAATGACTTTGTCTGTAGTTGGGAGAGTGAAGATGATAAATAATCATGTACCTTTCACATGCAGTGTTGTAACAGTAAAAAAGTGGGCTGATGGTTCAAATGTTTTCAGAATGGGAAATAGTGGCACCATATATCTCGTGACACAACATACAGACAGTAGATGCAAAAACTGACGATGGTGGTGATGATAACATACAGCTGTACTATTGCCGACATTATTATGACCGCAACTATCATCATTATAATCCTTATTTTTATTTTTTATTGTCACTATTATCATCCTCATAATCTTTATGACCTTATTACCTTCATCATTACCTTCGTTAATATAATCTTGTGTGTGTGTGTGTGTGTGTGTGTGTGTACACTCCAAACCCCTGAACAAATCCCACAGAACTGCTAGCTTACAGCAAATTTTGCGAGAAAACCACAGAACCACAGCGAAGAGGTGTCTTTGGGGAACCCTTGCAGACTTGCCACTTGCTGCGGACCTGCCGGTTCCTAACGACCACACAGCTGATAGCTGAAGCAAGACCTTCTTCAGACACTGAAAACGGCCTTGGCATGAGTATATGAAAGCCATTGCTAAGAAAAAGAAGATAAAAGTTCCGCATCATCATGGCTATCATTCTCCACAACATCGTTGAATATAAAAGCTCTGACTGAATAGGACGAAGAAATATATTACATGTTGCACTACAGCGGGTGTACCGCAGCCTTGTAGGAAGCGGTGTGAACAAGGGCAGACAATCACAAAACCCTCGACATCCGCTGAAATTGTTGTCGGCTCCTTCCCACTGGACTGAAATGGACCCAACAGTAAAAGTTCTGTCAACGAACTGTGGAGCCTTTAACTACGTCAGTACCAAGGAAAGTTATGTTCGTTTGTTTGCTACACTTTATATTGTATGCTTTTTAATCCCATGGTTTCTCATGTAGATGTACATTTACCTACTATATCCCAGGCTATGCTATAGCTTCCGGTCAAGATGTCGAGAAAAGGGGAAATGTTTTTCCGGAAATTGTGTTAAACTAGTTTCTGAGGTTTTGAACAACGGATCAACATCATGGCACACAGGTGTAACCCATAAGTGCTCCGTTCTTCTTCTAACTCGTCCGAAGAAGCTCAGCACAGTGCACAGGCTCTGTAGCACCGGTGAGGTGAAAAATACCGAAAAATTGCGTCCCACATTAACACGGGATAATGCGCCCTGTTTACGAAGTGTCTTTCGCTTTATCCGCAGACGCCGACGGTGGAGGGTTGCAAAATTATTTCAACAACCTTTAGGCCACAGAGTCACAAGAGTTTGTTTAAAAAAATGAATATACTTACCAAACACTGAAATGATTCCGGGGTGCTGACAGAAATTGACTTCTCCATGACAGAAGCAAGAATTCGCTATAGACCCAGTAGCCCGAATATGACCGCTACTGGGTGATGTTATTGACTGTTTGTTTCTATCAATGATATTGCCACTCGCTACAAACGGAAAATTGTACAACTGTCTTTCTTTCGCATGATGTACTTGAGTATCTTTAACATTTAGTTTTGGACATCCTAGAAAGGAAGTTGTGTTAAACTAGTTTCTGAGGTTTTGAACAGCGGATCAACATCATGCCACAGAGGTGTAACCCATAAGTGCTCCGTTCTTTTCCAACTCGTCTGAGTCCGAAGAAGCTCAGCACAGTGCACAGGCTCTATAGCACCGGCGAGGTCAAAAATAAAGAAAATTTGCGTCCCACATTAAGACGGGATAATGCGCCCTGTTTACGAAGTGTCTTCGCTTTATCCGCAGACGCCGACGGTGGAGGGTTGCAAAATTATTTCAATAACCTTTAGGCCACAGAGACACAAGAGTTTGTTTAAAAAAAAAATGAAGATACTTACCAAACACTGAAATGATTCCGGGGTGCTGACAGAAATTGACCTCTCCATGACAGAAGCAAGAATTCGCTATAGACCCGGTAGCCCGAATATGACCGCGACTGGGTGACTGCCTGTTTCTGTCAATGATGTTGTCACTCGCTACAAACGGAAAATTGTACAACTGTCTTTCTTTCGTATGATGTCCTTCAGTATCTTTAACGTTTAGACAGAAGTTGCTTTTCGAAACTTCAGTGACTTGTTTGTTTTCAGTAATACCTTTGAAAGCGCAATTGTTATCTTGAAGTAGATAGTTGTCAGGATAGAGAAGATATTTCTTACTGTTGAAATTCTTTCTATTGCAAAATGTAGAATCCAGTGAGCTTTCCTCCTCAACAAAATCACCCTTCTCATCTACAGTTCTTAGTGTGGCATTTTTTTGAATTTTTGAACGATCAGAATCTTTTAAATATCTAAGCTTGTGTTCATTTGCGACAACACCTTCTCGGTCGTCATCATTGGTGTTGTACGAAGTCGATTTCAGCAAATTATCTACAGAGAAGGCGCGAGCACGAGAACTTAACGCCATGACTCCTACAACTTATACAATCTACTTTCTACAGAGCACACAATACAAATATTTAGATTTATGAGGTTGCAGCTGGGATTTCTATTTTATCCTCGTTTAGTATACTATTGTCATTGTAGTGCAACTCAAAACTGATCCAATATTCTTATAAACAAACGAAGAAAAAACCAAAATCACTTAAATTTAACTGATATATTTCGATCTCATATGATGAAAAGGTCCATAGTTCCCAACCAGTCGATGCGTCCGTTTGTTGACAGTGATGTTTCACTTGCATTTATTTAAGTTAATATCTGTCAACCTGGTATAAAGTTGGCTTCTTCAAGAGGATACAAGTCGCCTGCTAGTACAACAAGAGATAGCCAATCGGGACGCATGAGAACTATCGTTATCTCTACCTTGACGCCCAAGTGACACAACCAGGATCACCCTTTCTCATGACACCCAATCATTGCCCAGATAGCATCATCCTCCACAGCCATTTATTTGTTTTGGGTCAGTAGTAACTGCTCCGGTGTCTGGTGTTAAAGTAACGGTAAAGCCCCTATCTGATTAACAAGGGTGGTAACAGGTACATATAGTGTGTATTCTATGTTTGCGACTCCCACAAGCCATTGCTCTTGACTCATGCTGATAGACTAGAAATCATAGCTTAATATCCTCCATGATACTTGAATTAGCGAGGTTAGAGATTTTACGTGTTCAATAATTTAATTGTACTCATTTACACCAGTTCATTGCCTGGGGGTAGGGTTCAATCCTTCTCTGCTTTCCCTACAGGTTTGCTGTTGGATGACATGACATCCTTGGGTACAGAATCTGCGTCTGTATTGTAGACCAATAGACCAACATGGTGAATCCCAGATACTCTGTCTTACCTCTATGTTGTTTTATCACAATCGATGTCTCTGCACATTGGACACTTCCATAGTGCTCAGTCCTCCGCTGCCGCAGCCACTCCAATGTACACCTACAGACTGTTCCATGAGGTGCTGGTTATAATGTCTCCTATTTCGACCCGACGTGACGTAGACATGCTTCGCCAAGCTTAACCCTAGGACACGCAATGGTGTTATTGTTCAATCTCTGGAGAGGTTATACTTGGGGTATCCCTAATGACAACATCAGCTGGGGGCACCCTGCAAACCTCTGCAGGCAAGGATGACTGCCAGTGAACGGAAGGCCTCTTTTTATAGTCCATGGCAATTGGTTTGGTAGTCATGTCTGTTTACAACCTTCCATTCCTGTACTTTCAATCACTTCGGTCACAGATGATTCTCCATGCCATGATGTCAAACCATTTCAGAATCTTCTCTCTTGGTCTCCATCTGCATCGCTTCCCCTCCAACGTTCCCCTTGTTAGGATGTACTACAGTTATTATCTTTTCACTAACGAATTAGTGGCGTCTAAGATGGACCCCCCAAAATAGATATAGAGAATGAAGCTACAAAAAAATATGTTGAGGACATGTGGTGAACTGCGTGTGGTAGCGACGGATGGGATGATTAGGGTCCATATTCTAATGTCAGGAAAGGTGTGTGTGTTTAGGAGGGTTGGGGTGGGGGTGGAAGCAGGATTACAGTATTGATTTGTAGATATAAAGTTGACTAACATAGTTTATCTGCTCTTTCTTTTTCTTTTTTTTTTTTTTTAAGATTCAGATCAACCCCGACCGGGTACAGAATGATTCTTAATGATATTTTGTTGAGTGACGGAGACGTACTAGATCCCATGTCTGTTGTGTCTTCTTCTTCCTGGACCTTCTTCTATGTTACTGGCATATGATGCTATACTCAGATTTTTTTATAAACAACTCGGCATTTGGTGGGTGCTGTAGCAAACATCGCGTCGGCCGCTTTTATTTAGCGGAACCTCACCTGGTACCCATCTTATGCTGGGTCGATCTGAAAGCCTGGACAATTTAACCCCCAGCCGCCCCTCCCCCCCCCCCACACACACACACACAAAAACAATCATTTTAGTGCCAATTTCAATTCAAAGCTCTAGGGACGACAGGCCTTTTTTTTATATTGTTCTAGAACGAGGTTTGTGTACACATCTGTTTTACACATCCAATGGCTTATTTGTGTGCAGTCAGTTAGTTCCCCACTTGTGAGACAGATGGACTACGACTTCGAAGGGAACACCCCTAATTAGTAGCCTTTTACGACATGTTTGTTAGGATATCGAGGGGTTATTACCCCCCCCCCCCCTCACCTTTTTCCCCCAGCTGAATCCAGAAAGGTAATAATTTATCTAAAAAGAAAAGAATTAAACCTAAAAACAACAAAAAAAAATAAAATACCAAAATACACGGCCCCCCCCCCCCCCCTCCACCTCCCCCACACCATCGCAGGCCTGAAATCTTACCGTCTCAGAACATTCTTCCTTTGTGGGTTCCCGGGCCTCATTGTGGGGAAAACAAGAATAGACCCCTTTTTCCCAACAAGCATGTCGTAT